GGGACCCTTTCCCCGTTGCCGTGGAGGACTGGGGCCACAGCCACCTTCAGTCAAATCCGGCCCCGGCCAGACCCGGGCGAAGCTTGGAGGGGAAGGGCTCGCCTGAGCCCCATGTGCACCAAGGCATCAGCCAGGGCCCGGCAGTTGGGAGGATCTCAGTAAAGGTGTTGGGGTGGGTTTAGGCCTGGAACGGGTGGCCTCCTGTCACCTTGGGCAGCTTGCCCGCAGGCCTAGTGCATTCGTGCCTCAGACCGTGCTCCCCACAGACACAGGGGCTCGAGTCCCCTAGAACGATGACTTACAACTAAGAGCAAAAGCAGAAAAGCGGGGGTAATAAAAAATAAAGCTTTATTAAAGCGGCTACACTTGGCAGGACCGAATCATACTTCCTCAGCATGGCACGGTCACCCTGTGCGTTCCTGCTGCGGACAGTTCCAGGCTGCTCGCGCTCATGCAAAGAGGATGCCCTTGTGTGTTGCGCCCCTCACCTCCTTGACGTGGCAGCACACTGACGCTGCGCTGGCTCCCGTTGGGGGACCAAGTGGGAATGTGCGGGGTTCACCTGGCTTCCAGCATCTACCGCCCCTGCCACCGAGGGCTGCTCGGTCTGAACAGATTTAAGGAGCTTGTAGAATCTGAAGACGGCTGAGCCTGCCCTCGCCCTGCCCGGCCCCTCGGGCGAGGGCCCCGTCACCGAGGGGCGGGGGCTACCTTAGTCCTTCTTGCCTCCCGGGGCCGGGCTTCTGGTGAGGACCTTCCCGGAGCTGAAGGGGGTCAGTGTGGACACTGTCGGGGACTCCAGCTTCACTCTGTCCAGCAGGGTCTTCTTGAGGGCGGCTGGGGAGACCTTTTCCTGGTCGGCCATGGACTGCAGCTCTCTGGAGATGGCCCCGAGAGGGGAGGAGGAGGGAGGCATTAAACCCTGGAGCCAGACCATCTCAAGGCTTCCCCACCCACATATTAGTAACTCCCCACCCTTGCTGACTGGATACCACCCCAAATAGAAAC